CAGTAGTAGATACTGTACAGTATATACATTACATATAGTATATACATATAGATTACAGTAATAAACCTGTGTGTGTCACCTCGGGGGAACAATTAGCGGTCTCAACGAAAGCACCTCTACCCAAGTCCATTTTCAGGATATGAACTTGTAAAGTTTTCTCATCTGATGACTCGTCTTGAGAAAGACGAGTTATTTCTTACACGACGAAGATTCTCCGTTGAAATAAACCATCAGGTTGTCTTCTTTGGTGACTTGCCTTGAAAAAGGCAAGTTATTTCTTACATGAACAATATTAAGTTAAAATAAAGTTGAAATAAAACACCAAATTGTAGTAGAATAAAATACTCAGCCACAGAGTATGGAAAGCTAAAAAGGAAGCAGAGCCCCGAGAGCACTAAGCTCTCGGAGAGCCCGTGAAGGACTGACCTGGTCGACCTGAAAATCGCATATTTTTATACACGCTGATGTAGCGATAAATAGGGATTTCCAGGTCAGGAACCAATAAGAAAAAAATGAGGGGCGGGGCGATGCGTCTCGAGCGCGTACTAGTCGCGCTTGAGGACATGTGCACGAATCTTTGAAATTTAATTTGATATTTTTTGCCCGAGAACGCATATACACGGTATACAAAAATATATGGTCATGTTAATGTACCAATGTTGTTGTAGATGGCGTCATGAAACGCCACTCATAAAACTAACATTATTTTCTTATCGTTCATCAACATCCTCTTATTGCGTATGATAAACAATAACACTATATCGCATCCCTATTTAACTGAAATTAGTGTACAAGTTTCCCCAAAATAATGGAAAAAATATTTCAAGACATACAAAAAACAATAATAGAACACTTTTTTATGTCTCGTATATGGCTCGCCCCTTATCTGATATCCAATTAATTGTGGACGCCCTATATATAACGTCACTAACACTGAAATGCATGATAATTATTAAACTAAAATAATAGTTTATTACCTACAGGCTTGATTCGCCGGCAGTACATAATAGTGATTTATATAAATAATCTAATAATATATATCCAGTGGCAAAAAAGAATATAAAGTATTCTTTTTTGTCACTGATTTCTTGTTGTTTAATTTTTTTGTAATCGAATCACACTTGCATAATATTGACCAATCTACTGATTGAAAAAATTAATATTAAATACTGTTTAAAATACTTTTGTATTAATATATTATATATTTTAATTATTGTTTTTAACGTGCCCCTATTAATCCTCTACAGCACCTCACCAAAATTTAATAAAACACTCTCAATAAATTAAATATCATTTCAAAACTGTCGCCTACCGACAAACAGACTTTCTTACATAAAAAAAAAATAATTTAAGTAGACCGTTCCCTAAAGTTCATAAGATATTTAGAAGGTTTTTAATGTGATGTTGTGCAACTTTTTAATATACATTTTGACAACAGTTTTATCTGAAAGTATAAATGTTAATATTAAAGTTGGCCCAAACTAGTGGTAATTTGTTCATGCCCAGCTACAAAACCGTATGTCAGTATAGAGCTCATTTCTCTGTTATGCTCTGGAATGGATCAAGAAGTACACTTTGATGTATACATGTTAGTAGTTTGGGTATTTTGCTCAAATCAAATTGCAGGGTGAATTTTTGAAATAGATAAAAATAGTAATAGTCCGCATTCAATACTGTTAATTAATTTAACTAACACAATATAGATCCTTCTAGAGTAAGTATCAACTTATTTGGGTATATTTAAGAGACAAATAAAACCTGACACGTTCATCCAACTTTTTTTGTCCAGAAGAAACAAAAACTACCTAGACAATGACGACATTTAAACAAAATCCCTAAATATTGTTATCTGTCAGTTCTGTTACTTATAAAATTGTTGGGTTTCTGACATTTTACATTGAAATATTAAATTTCTGATTGAAAACTTGCGGAAGTCAATGCGATTTCGTTAGTCTTCTTTTAACAGGTATACAAGTTGTTTTGATTACTGTTAGTACTGTCAGTATACTAAGGGTGATTCAAAACCTGACGTTACCACATGGCAACGCACTGCGCATTGGTTGTGAACTGGACTATCAAATGTATAGTATTATCAATTTTGACTAGATGGCAATAATAACGCGTTTTAAAAACGTCGGTTTACATTATGTTTTCATATGAATCACTTAGTTTGTATATTAGAGTGTGTAAAAACAATTCGAATTTCAACAATATTTATCTGTGTAAAAATGGCATAACCTACTTTTAAGTAAGTAAAAGTACCTAGTACCTCAGGAAGATCTGAGGGAGATTGGAGTGAGGGGCTGGAGAAGACAGACACTCGATAGGGAAGGATGGAAGAATGTTTTGAAGCAGGCCAAGGCTCACGAAGGGCTGTAGCGCCAACTGATGAATGAAAAGTACCTAGTATTATCAATATTTATTATATTTTTACGTATACAAGTTATTTATAGGAGTACTTTTCATATGGTCTTATTGAATTTAAAATAGTTTTTCATAGTATGTTTTTATGATGCGATTTTACGTGCCGTTACCATACGGTAACACTAGGTCGTTTTATATGCAATGTTACTGAGAAATGTTACTTTTGTTTCAGACGAGGTTTTAGGTTTTAGTTAACAAGCAATATAAATAACACATAAACAAAATATAGATTGTAGCCTCCAGATTCAAAAGTTTTAACAAAAAAGATACAGGGGTGGAGATGACTGAGAGACATTGGGCAACCTATCTGCATGCCAACTTCGTGCAGATATGGAATTAAAACTTGACAATAATGAACGTAACGGCAAATCCATTCCTTTATATAGGAGACCTTATACTACAAATAAGGAGCTTTCAAATGACTCTAAATATAAAGAACTATCATCATCTCGACATTTTGAAACACATTTTGACGATGAACTTCTATCTTTTTTGTAAAAGAAACTTCTCGTTACACATTATTCAAAAATTGTCCAACAAAACATGAACTAAAATATTTTCTAGCAATTTTAATAATTCGTGAATACTCGGTATTGCCGGAAAAACGATATTATTGTGATATCCATGTAGACATATTCGAAATTGTATGATCACCGATGCAATGTGACCGATTTGTCCAAATAATGAGGTTTATACATCTGCAGATAATACAAAACCAGATGAAAAGGACAAAATGTGAAAATTACGTCCGTTTATGGCAAAACTGAAAAATCTTTTTTTGTAGTGCCTATCCGTTTCGGATGTTAGCGACCATCATGGCAATCTGCACTTTGCACACTGCTGCTCTAAAAAGATTTGTGGTTGTTGTGTTGAACCACGTTCGTAGATTTTTCAGCCAGGAAATCCTTCGCCTTCCTGGTCCCCATTTTCCTTCTACTTTTCCCTGCAAGATTAGTTGCAGCAGTCCATATCTTTCGCTGTTCCTCATGATGTGACCGAGGTATTCGATTTTGGCTGTTTTTATTGTGGTTAACAGCTCTTTTTCTTTTTTCATTCTTAACAGAATATCGATATCTTTAGGATGCGACGATAAAGCCACATTTCAAAAGCCTCAATTTTCTTGCAGGTGGCGTCTGTGAGAGTCCATGACTCAACTCCGTACAACAGTATAGGAAAGATGTAACATCGTAGTAACCTGATTTTTATGGGCATTGATAAATCATGACATTTGAATAACTTAGCCATTTTTTGAAATGCAGATCTTGTTTTCTCTATTCTACATGAACTGAAAAATAAATTCTTAAAACCCCTAACGCCAGACGAACTATGAAGAGAGTATATATTATGGAAATGACTCGTGTAAGCAATTTATTAGTGACAAACCCATAAGAGTGGGATACAATATGTGGGTTTTGTATATCTAATGAAGGCATCTAGTAAACTGTGAAATATATCAAGGAAAAATTCTTTAAGACCAGAAAATTACGAACAACTTTTGGAAAAGCTTCTTAATAATGTTAGATGACCTAGTATATGTCCTACCCATATGAACTTTATTTTTATAGGTTGGCAAGAGTACATTCTGAAAGCAATATTGAAAAATAATGCGGTGTTAATTTAGTTAGCTGGGTTGATAACAATATTCTAACTCTAGTTTCAACTGTCTATGGAACTATGCCAATATCCAATGTAAAACGCTACAGCCAAGCTTAGCATAAAATTATTTTTGTTCCAGGTCCCAATATTATTAGCCAGTATATTTATAAATTGGGATGATTTGCTGGATGAGAATTTTGCATGCTATCAAATCAGAAGTAAGAAGTGGTAGTGGCCCATTTCTATTTGGTACATTTATGTAGCTGTCAAAAAGCCGCTTATCTCTTAACCGGATTTTGGATAATGCAAGGTATGACGGACCAAATCATCTCGTTGTCGACATGATGAAAGGAGCAAAGAAGATGTTCTGGAGAAGGCTGTTGTGTCAGACTTCGCACAATGTAAAAGTGTAATCTCGGATAATGTATTCCTTGTTTTCTTATTTTCCATACAAAATGAATTAATAGTACTAATACAGTTATTTTACTGCTTGTTGACGTTAGACGTGAAAATATATTTATACTTTACTTTAGCGTATTTAAAAGTCCTAGCGTTACCATGCGGTAACGGTATTTTTGGAAAAAAATACATAACATATTCAACAACACAGTTGTTACTTATTAAAAGTAGACTATTTGATAGTAAAATATACTGATAGTTTCAGAAAATTTTGTAAAAAAAACCTTTGCTTTTAAGGATTAATATATTTCTATAGATTCTATTTAATCGAAACACAGTGCCTTATTCATCGGTGTAAAATTAGATGAAATGAAATATTAGTCACATATGTAATATAGTATAAAATCTCAGGTTTGGTTTGAAAGTGGAAAGAAACACGTTCATTGGTTTCTTTCTACTTGTATACACAACATCATGTGAAAAGTATTATCTTCCAAATAATACTTTCATTAAACATAAGAAAAACGTTCCGAATGTTTTATATATGAACTCCAGGAACTAGTCTAAATATAGTAGCCTACCGTATGAAGCAAGTACGACACAGTTTATTCGGTCCTATGCAGTCGTCGTGACAAAAAGCGCCACATTTTTTGCACATCACCATCGCCTTGAGGCTGCACGAACAAGAAGAATCGCCTGTGACGACCGCCATGGGGGTCGTCACCGGCTTCTGGACCACAGGTGGAGCTGGCGCGGGTTGTTTCTGTTGCTGTTGAAGAACTAGCTGGCTTTGCATGGCTGCGCCGGGATGGTCAACCATCACGTTGCCATCGCCGCCGATGATTGTGTAATTCTGAATTGGAGATTCTACGCTGACATCACCATAAACGACACCTAAAACATACATTCAATAAATATTATTTGGTTTATTATTTCTTCATTTAAATATGTCAGTTACTAATCCAAGTAAAGTGTACTTTACATGAAATTGAGGCGAAACTACTTATTAATGAAATTTCTTATTATATGTTTGAGATTATAAGTGAATTTTAAGAAATTCCAATACAACGAATATAGGTATTAAAATATATATTAGCTATTTAGAGCCAGAGTGCCAAGAAAAGTAAAATTTTGACTATACCCTAAATTCAATAGGATTGTCAGAGCAGACATTTTGTAGTTCGTTAACACTCGGTGGTAAGCGGCTATATATTTATTTCTTTATTAGCACACAAATCCACTTCTTAATTATCATTTTTGCCGGTTACATCTGTTGGAAGTCCGAACTAGAGAAGGTAGGACCTTATTGCGAAATTCATTATTTAGTACCGCTTGCAGCTTATCCGTGCCATTGAGGTATACCCGAGTGCCAATATAGAGACGGGAGGACACCGTTATTTCTTTTCGAAAGTAATATTCTAAATGCAATACGGCAATATTATGAAAACTGAAATACTACCAGGCACAAGAATACGGTGTCTGGTAGTATTTCATGAGTGTACCGTCGGTTAACATCATGGCATCAAAACCAACGTGCAGTACATCTGTTAATAAACAAAATATAAAAGGTGATAAAATCTGTGAGAGAAAAGCAAATGATAAAATCGGTTTATGAGGGATTGCGTAGAAGATGAGGATGTCGCGGCATTGTGTGGAAAATTACCGAAAATATCGGTTCGAACGGTTTTCTGAATAATTCAAGGTAACAAACCTATCCAAAAACCAATCCATAAAGGACGTACAAAAATTGTATTGGACGATTGTACGAAAAGTATAATCCGAAGAAAAGTTCATGGATTTTATTTTAGGAACGAACTGACTACGTTAAAGGCTGTTCAACGAAAAGTTATTGCAGACGCAGATGATACTTTAAATAAAATATCCATAAGAGTATTACAAAGAACTTTACATGAAATGGACTCTCGGTATGTGAAGAGATATCGGAAAAGTTTGTTGATCGAAAGAGACGAATTAGTGATATGGCGGAGAAAATATTTGCAAAAAATTCGTGATTTTAGACGACTTGGTAAAAAAATTTATTATTCGGACGAAACGTGGTTGAATGAGGGCCATACGAAATCCAAAGTATGACAAGACTTGAATAATAAAAGTGCGCGACAGGCTTTCATTGAGGGACTTTCAACCGGCTTAAAAGCAGCTTCGGGCAAAGGAAGACGGGCGATTATCATGAGGATATGAATTCGGATGTGTTTAAAAAGTGGTTTTCGTCTATACTGACTCGTGTAAATCCTGGTTCGGTAATTATAATGGACAATGCACATTATCACAGCCGCTATATGGACAAAATACCGACTTCTGCATATCGAAAGGCAGATTATAATAGATTGGTTCAGAAGTAAAAATATAGATTTTGATGAATCCATGATAAAGGTTCAATTAGTTGATATAGTACGCGAACATAAGAGTTCATACATCAGATTTACAGTAGACGAAATGGCACGTGAGCATGGCATCACCCTATTCAGAACACCTTATCATTGTGAATTGAATCCCATCGAGCTGATAAGGGCACAAATAAAAAATGAGGTAGCGCAAAAGAATACAACCTTTAAATTAAAGGATGTCAAATTATTATTAGACCAAGCCATACAAAATATAACCGCTTCCAACTGGCAGTCATGCATTAAACATACACAGAAAGAAGAAGATAAAATGTAGGATGTAGTCACGCGTGTTGATGTTCTTATCGAGCCCATTATCATGTGAAGACAGTAGTAATAGTGAGTTAACAACAGAAAGTGATTCAGAATAAAACTATTTCTTTAATATAATATGTATAATAATATATAATAATAACTAATAAGTACAGTTCTAGTGATTTTTTGTTGCTGCATTCGGAGACTACCTGTAAGATCCTTTGTCCTACTTGGTAATAATTTTCTAGGTATGTACATAATAATTTTATTATTATTATTATGGCATTATATTATGTTTTTCACAATTGCAGTTTACATTAGGTTGCTGGGTCTAGAATTATTATTTTCTGTAGAGCAGTTGGTATTTATATTTGAATATGAATTTTATTTAAAAAAAGCGACTAAGTTATTTCGAAACTATTACCTATTTACAAATTCATTCACATTTACTTATGTAGAAATTGATTGTAAATAAAAGTTCAAAAAGAAAAACAAGGTTGTTTTGGAAATTCTATTATTTTCATTTTAATGGTATTTAATTGGAAATCCCATGTATTATTTGTATTCTTGCTCAAGTTGAATGCTACGTCGTGTTTAGTTTAAAACGCATATTATGACTAACGAGGGTTTTTCAAAAGGTTAATTTGACAATTCATCTACAGTTTGATGTCTTAATAGTGGAAACTTTTATAAAAAGAAGTGGAAGATATTATATTTTGAGAAATGCAAGGTGATACAATAGTTATTAGTTATTCTTACTTTTATTACTAAAAGTTTCGTTTATATTTTTGTTGTATGACCGCAGATTTTGCAGATGGTACCTTGATTCAGTTGGTATCGAAATGAAAGTAAACAAAGTTTGTAACCCGGTCGATAGAGGCGCTGATAATGCATAATTTAAGAATTCATGATGCTATGATTTTATACAACTCTTTACGTGAAAAATTGAATTATTTGTATTAGTTATGAAAATGTTGTAGTTCCCTAATCAAAAATGCCAAAATGTTGATAATAAAAATTTCAAATATATTTTCACTCAATACAATAACTCAACACTCAAAACAATATTGTACTTATTATAATTGTACGAGTATTATTATAACTATTGTTCCAATTGGAGTAAAGCAGTAAAAAAATGTTTAGTAACACACATATACCTTCCTTGTAAGCATTATCTTCCTACATTTCTCGGATGATTATTCTGTTTCCATTTTTTTAACTCTTAATAAAATTAATGCAAAAAAATTCTATCAATATGTATTGATAGAAATATTAAAGCACTACTTTATTGATTCTATAAGCGAATACATTGCGGAACTATATTTGTATGCGATTAAATATTGAATACATTTATCAAATTTATAATGCGGTTTTCTAAGCAATATTACTGGAATACAAATAACTAAGCTTCGAAATCTGCTGTAAATAAAAAAAAAATTCTATCAATGTGCGATATTAAAAATTAATATGATAAATATACTATCACCATCACTGGTACTAAACTTTATTTCATATTGAGACAGAGACAGACAGAGAAATAGAGGGGGGAGGGAGAGTCATAAATGAATGTCAATAATGGTTAAAGTTGTGCGAAGTGACATGCAAATATTTAAAGAATAAGCAAGATTAATAAACAATTGGTATACAAATCGCAGGATTATAAAATTAAAGCCATCAAATGGAAAATTATTATTTATTACTTGACATTCTTCTTCTTATGTGCCGTCTTCTACCGAAGGTTGGCGACCATCATACGATAGGTTTCTCTGTTTTGTGCCGCATGAATTATGTTCGCAGCTTCTGGTATTTGAAACCATTCTCTCAAGTTTCTCAGCCAGGATTTCTTCTTTCTGCCCAAACCTCTTCTACCTTCAATCTTGCCTTCCACGATAAGCTGTAGCAGACTGTACTTATCATTACGGAACACATGGCCCAGGTATGACGCTTTCCTCCTTTTAACAGTTGTTAACAATTCCACCTCTTTACCCATTCGTCTTAATACCTCTGTGTTGGTCACTCTGTCTGTCCAAGGTATTCTCAGTATGCGTCGATACAGCCACATTTCTAGAGTGACACTTGACATTATTCTTGGAAAATAAGCACTTTATTCACAACAAATCACAACACCCTCCCTCTCGACTGCACCGCCTACACCTACCCTTTGACTCTTAGACCTCTTCTATTTGTCTAATTTGTAGTGAACTTTCTGCTCTCGCGAGTAAAATTGTTTTCCCGCCTAATGGGTGCCTCTCTCAATTTGCTGTACTGCCGTGTGTATTTTTGGAAACTGAATGATAAGTAATTTTACTAAATATCTAATAATTTAGCATTATTTGTGATTAGAACATCATTTAATTTAATTTATGTAAGTTAATTGAATAGTTAACTAGTTGAATAGTTAAACTAGTTTAAGAAACCTCAATAAAGAAATAAAACGAAGATGTAAGGCCGACAAAAAACAGTACTATCAAAGTATATGCAAAGAAATTGAGAGAAATGGTAAGAATAATCAGCCGAGAGATCTATTTAGAAAAATACGCTACCTGACAAGAGACTTCAGAGCCAGAACTTGGGCCATTAAAGATAACACTGGAACCCTGAGAACAAACAGAGAAGACATAGCAGAGACATGGAGATCGTATTGCAGGGACCTATATAAAGATGATCAACGCCAAGAGCTTGTTAGCAAAATCTTTGACGAGGTGGAAGAAGAACCTGATATACTCGAAAATGAAGTAAGACAGGCTATCAACAAGCTCAAATATAACAAAGCAGCAGGTCCAGATATGATAACAACAGAAATGCTTAAAGCCACAGAAGAAACCGGCGTAAAGTTACTTCATCTACTCTGTAACCAAATATGGCATTCCAAACAATGGCCTGAAGACTGGACAAAATCCACAATAACGATCATACATAAAAAAGGCAGCTTCCATAAATGCGACAATTATAGAACTATCTCTCTTATATCCCATGCCAGCAAGATAATGCTACATATAATCATTGAGAGACTGAAAACATTCCTTCAAAGAGAAATTCCACAAGAGCAAACTGGATTTACCAAAGGTAGAGGCACTCGAGAACACCTGCTGAATATAAGACAGATAATCGAGAAATCTAGGGAATTCAACATCACACTATACATCTGTTTTATAGATTACCGTAAAGCGTTCGACAGGGAGACACTTATGGCGAATACTAAAAGAAGTAGGCGTACCACAACATCTAATTACGCTT